TCCTTAGCTATTCTCTCAAGAGGCACGAAGATCAAATGACAAAAAAATTAGGTGGTAGTCTAATTTGGACTATTTATTAGAGAGCAACTCATTTTCAGACGATAATTAATTTTGTCTGGACGAAAATTTAACAGAGACCAGATCGTCCTAGACGATAATTAATTTCATCTGGATGAAAATTTTACAGAGAGCACTCATTTTCTGACGATAATTAATTTTGTCTGGACGAAAATTTTACAGAGACCAAGTCGTCCTGGATGATATTTAATTTCGTCCTGGACGAATAGGACTTAGAAAAGTTTTCATGCAAGTTCATATTCGTTCTATGTGCTCAATAGGAGATAACTTTCTGATCGTCTCGTACGATCTGATATCGTCCCGTATGATCAGTATAAATTTTATATGATCTCCTTATGTGTGTGTGTATGTTTTTATTCACTCAATTACAATCACTCCCTTTCAAATTTAATTCAAAGAAAAGTACAAGCTTCAAATTCACAAAGTATTTCATGTTGAATTTGATTTGAAGTCTTCGTAGTCTGGAGTTCGATTTTCCTGAAATGTTAGTACATACAAGAGCAAATACAAATATTCTAAAATTGTTAGGAGATAACTACACATTTGAACAATAATGTTTGAAATCATCAAAACTATACAAGTTGCAAAAATGTAAAGCATGCAAATAACAACTATCTTAACAAACAATACATCTAAAATATGTTAGGAGAAATTATAATAAAAATAATAATATTTGGAATCATAAAAAACATACATGTTGCATAAATCTCAATAATAAAAAAACTAAGTTGTAACAATCTCAACAATCTCCCCCTTTTTGATGATGACAAAATAATTATTGTTTGAGTTAACATATATACCCTTAATTTCACCTTAGCTCCCCGTAAAAGAATAAAACATGTGAATATATAGAAATTTCATGAAGTGCACATAATTTTTTTTTTAATTTTTAAAACATATAAAATACAAACTATGAAATCTAAAAACACAAACACAAAATATAAAAACATAAATAAAAAAAAACACAAAACACAAAATAATATTACTCCCCCTTTTGACAATAATAAAAAGGGAATAAGAAAGTTGAAATGAAAGATGTCAAATGATAAATCATATTAATTGATATTGAAGGAGATTGAAACATAGTTATAATAACAAAGTTAATTATCATAAGATGAAAACGAAAGATTCAAAAAATTTAAATTAAAGAACAACTTAGATAAGAAAATTTTATCAAGGTCATGAAACATTATAGACAATTAGATAAGGAGGATTATTGCAAAAGTGACGAAATGAAGATAAAGTAATTTCAATTTTCAATATAAAATATAATTGAAAATTAGATTGATTTGAATTAAAGATTAAATGATAGAGGAAAGAATATATTCAATTAGCGATATTGAGCATCTTTTTAAATATTTATGACAAACTTTGTTTATCTTTTACTATTTGGGCTAATTTTGTGCCTCTTTTCATTTTGCAAACTATTGCACAATCTTTCAATTTTTGTACACACTATATATTTCTTTTTAATATACTCCCCCCTTTTTTATTTGGTCTTTCCAAAATCAATAATCTAAAAATCAAATTCCTCTAATTAAAAAAATAATTATATTAAAAAAAGAATTAGAAAATGATAAGACATCAAAATTGTAATAATAATATTCAAATTATGTTTGCCTAAAAAGAACATGAGATTGATATGTTTAACTTGATCGAGTTATAAGTTAACTTAAATTTTTTTGCAAAATTAGATTTCATAATGAATTTTATTTTATAATACAAGTTAATTTATAACACTTTTTAGATCAATTAAAAACAGACTTTTTATATAGGTAAACTCACATTTCAAATAATGAATAAAATCAACTAAATAAAACATGACATTTTTATTGATATCAAAAAGATCGGATACATCAAAATCATTGATATCAATAAATATAGCTTCTAAACATCATAATATCAACACAAATCTAAGTACAAAAAAAAAGTAATACAAAAAGAAATAAACATAGACATCATCATATCATCACATCATCGGGAAAGGACTGACAAAAGCAACTACAAAGGAATACATCTAAAACTCTGAAGGACCATAATCTGGAGGAGGAGAATTCTTGAATACTGAGAAATAACTATTCATCATAATTATATTCATATTCATCGAGTCAAACTAGCCTCAAATCCACCCTATATCTTGTTGGTACTATGCATTTTATTAATTTAAATGAGTCTGAATTTGATCAAAATAATGATCAAAATGACTCTTCAACCGATCAAATCGCTGGACCATCTCTTAAAAGTAGTTTTGATCAGGTCCCTGAGCAGGTGCAGGTGCTCCCCCTTCTTCCTCAGTATCCTCACTTGAACTCTCATTTCTTAAAAAAAAAAAAAAGAGATCGAAAAGATGCATCAGTGAAGAATATTGGCATTTTAGGGGGAGGATTAGGATGAATTATATTGTACTTCTTTTCCAAAATATAAGTCACTAAATGTCCTAGAGTAATATTTTTCTTCCACTTATGGTAAGGAAGCCCAATTTCTAA